CTGAAGGCATTATGTACCACACCAGGTTTGTTTTAAAGTATATATAAGAGGCATGAAGTAAGTGTGTGTGTGTGTGTGTGTGTGTGTGTGTGTGTACACATGAGTTCAGGTACCTGTGGAGGCCAGAAGTCGGCGTCAGATCTCCCTGGAGGGAGAGTTAGAGGCGGTTGTGAACTCCCTGACGTGGGTTCTGGGAAACTGAACCCAGATCTTCTGCAACAGCTGAACATGCTCTTATTTGCTAAGCCATCTCTCCAGCCCCAAGAAGATACACTTTTATCTACAGCAGGAATCAAGAGGCAACTTTCCAGGAAGGCTGCCGTGGTTCATGCGCTTATAAGCAATGGATGCTAAGTAGTGGACCCTCACACACGTCTCAGCGGGAGTTTGGAGAAAGCGTGAGGATTCCTCTAATCTAAGAGGACAGTTTACCTTAATTTGCATTTCCATATCTACTAATAAAGTTGAACATCATTTAGTGTTTATTATCCATTTATGTTTCCTGTTCTTAGAATTTCTTCCACCAAAGCAATTTATGTTTCTTCATATTTTTGGGATATTGGATATGCCTTCTAAATATAGTTTATGATCCACTATAGTTCCGGTACTTTTCTTGCTACATGTATTAGTTTTTGACAATGTGTTTTTGTTTTAAATGAAAGTTTTCTGTGTCAAAATAGAAGTACTGAAAGGTAAAAGCCACTTATGATCACATATTCTCAAAAGTTACAATAGCAATAGAACCAAAACCCCCTGCTAACTCCAACAGCTACATAAGCAGTCTCCCAAGCACATAGTAATGTCCCTGCACACAAAGGTCTCCTCTTTTCCAGTCTTTACCTGTTTTGTTTCCCACCTCATGCTATGAACTGTAACCAACAGAACTGTGGTGTGAGGTGAAAAGCGGTACCCTATCCCTCGCTAGGAAAGGGCATGGCTAAGATACGTGGTTGTTCTGGAGAATGGTTATTAGTGACTTTGGGAAAAACTAGGCCTTACAGTTTCCTTCCATCTCAACTTTACTGTGGCTTTTATTGTTTGTTTGGCTGTCTTGGAACTTGCTATATGGACCACACTGGCCTCGAACTCAGAGATCCTCCTGGATGCTGGGGTTAAAGGTGTGCGTCACCTCATCCCCAGTTTTACTGTTTTTGTTTTGAATGGACAAATACCAATATATAACCGGCATCTTTAACACCAGCGTCCTGTTATTTATAAATATATGGATACAGGCAGTATAAAGCATGCGCAGTTTAAGAAGCATTATACGTAAGGGGAAATGCAGCCACTGCATTGTTTAGGAAGTAAAGTGTGGGGGCTAGAAAGATGGCTCGGTGGCTATCAGTACTTGCTGTTCTTACAGAGGACTGGAGTTCAGTTTCCAGAGCCCATGTGACATCTCACAACCACCTCTAACTCCAGTTCTAGGAGACATGACACCCACTGGCCTCCATGGGGATGCACGTGGTACACAGAGACACACACATAAACAAAGTGCACACAAAAGAAATGAATATTTTAAAGGAGAAGCAGCAATAATCATTAGTATTTATTATTTATGAAATGCTATTATTATATCATTATTGTTTAAGCATGGCCTCACAAGATGAATGGGCAAGGAAAGGTGCTTACTATGCCATCCTAGCAAGTTGAATTTGGCCCTGAGCACCCATATAAAAAGCCAGCTGTGGAGGCACACATCTGTAATTGCTGCACTCCTCTGGAGATAGGGGGCAAAACCAGGATAGCCATCCAGAAGCTCGCAGATCAGCTGCTCCGGGGTGCATAGCACAACAGAAACCAGAGAGAGCCTGCTTCAACAAAACGGAAGGACAGAGGCAACTCCATGAGTTTTCCTCTGACAGGCACATGCAGACCACACTTGAGTACACACACACGCACACACACATATGCACACTTATTAAAGAAAGGAAAAGGAAGCTTTGGGGTGGCTGAAGATGGCGCGTGCCCGACACTGTCCAGTTTTACTTCTCCCCAGGAACGGTGTGTCCCATTCTAGAAACCCCTTTTCCTTTTCTTTCTTTAATATTGCATAGGGGGTCTCTGCTGTCGTTTTCATCATTTGATTACTTATTTTATTATGATCATTACTACTACTTCAGACTGTAGAGCCCTGTCTATAACTCACTATAACTCATGAGACTGTCCTGGAACTCACAGAGATCCCCCTGCCTCTGCCTCCCCAGTGTCTGTTTTCAGAGCTCATGCTAGCCACACCGCTTTGTGGTGTCTTCAAAACTTCATCTCAGTGAGGTCACCACTGATAGTGTCCAGATGCTCGGGCGTTCTATGCCTGGGTTCTTCTGAGCAAGGCTGGTTGGAGGTCTTGGTAGTTTAGGGTTATGATGGATATCCTTGTGGCATCAGGTGACACAGATGTATCCACACTGACTCTAACTGGGATGCCAGGTTTTAATCTGCACTTCTCTGACTATCTGAGAAGTTAGGTGGTATCATCATCACCATCATCATCACCATCATCACCATCATCATCATCGCCGGCTACTTTCTCCTATGAACATAGGAGAAACACCTATTTAAGTCTTTGCCCATCCTTCTCATTAAGAAATTTGGACTCTTGCCAGGCAGCGGTGGCGCACGCCTTTAATCCCAGCACTTGGGAGGCAGAGGCAGGAGGATTTCTGAGTTCGAGGCCAGCCTGGTCTATAGAGTGAGTTCCAGGACAGCTAAGGCTATACAGAGAAATCCTGTCTCAAATACCAAAAAAAAAAAGAAAAAAGAAAAGAAAGAAAGAGAGAGGGAGGGAGGGAGGGAGGGAAAGGGAAAGGGAAAGGGAAAGGGAAAGGGAAAGGGAAAGGGAAAGGGAAAGGAAAGGAAAGGAAAGGAAAGGAAAGGAAAGGAAAGGAAAAGAAAAATGAAATTTGGACTCTTGGTGGTACAGGCTAGCCTCCTAGTGCTAAGTTGTTCCATGCCTCATGCTAGCCCCAGGGCCATTCAGATGTCCAGCTGCAGCTGCAGAAAGTCACCAGGCAGTTCTGCTTGTGCACTCTGGAGCCACGTCTTATATCACGTGTGTTGTCACCGTCCCCCCACAGCCTGGGGCTTCTCCATCTCCCTGAGGTAACTCTTGATTTTACAGAGAGGAGCTATTAAGTTTAATGTATCCCAGCGTGTACATCTTTTCTCTTATGGCTGCTGTTGTACCAGCAGCAGCTCCAGCAACTGAAGAAACCCTTCCTATCTTGAGATGGTGACACTCCGAGATCTTCCAAAGGCTCGACAGTTCCTGCCTCTCGCCCTTGGGCCTAACATACCTGAAGCTAACTTTGGTGTCTCATTTCATGTATTTTACATAGGTGCTAATCTATGCCAACACCCTAGCCACATGCTATCTCTCCTAAACCAAGGCCGTGTGTGTGTGTGTGTGTGTGTGTGTGTGTGTGTGTGTGTGTCTGGGCCGGCCTTTCCCTTTCTGTCCCACTAGCCACCTGTCCTTGCAGAGTAACCTATTCTCAGGGATGATGGCCTTAGAACAACTCTTCTTAGATTTCTTCATTTTAATTGATTAACTAAATCATTTACATAATAATTCTTAATAACTAGCCAGACAACTCCTCCCAGCATGCTTTGGATCTCTTGACCTTTTGTACTTACGACATACATTTTAGAATTAGGTCATAAAGTTCTATTAAAAATATCCAAAATGCCGGGCGGTGGTGGCACACGCCTTTAATCCCAGCACTTGGGAGGCAGAGGCAGGAGGATTTCTGAGTTCGAGGCCAGCCTGGTCTACAGAGTGAGTTCCAGGACAGCCCGGGCTACACAGAGAAACCCTGTCTCGAAAAACCAAAAAAAAAAAACAAAAAAAAATATCCAAAATAATGAACATGCCAAATCTACAAATTAATGTGCAAAGAATCCAAAAATTTATAATGCGCCCTTGCCTACTAGGGAAATATATCGGGCCACTCTGTGACCTGAGAAATAGAATGAGTCCTATTTGGGAGTGAGATCTGTGTCAAGCGAAAGCTGTAAATTATAATTGATGCCTTTGGATTTCATTATCTAAGAACAGACATACTATTCAGCCCTAAGTAAAATATGGAACATCTACCAATTTTTAAAATCCCAAATCAGTTCTTACTTATTATCTTATTATTGTCAGTTCTCTGCTTGTAGTGTTGGGGACTGGCCCCAAGACCTACCCCACACTAGGCAAGCGCTCTACCGCTACACCAGCCCCGCACCCCATACCCCAGTGCCAAGCTCTACAAGATGGTGTTGATTACCTTGAGTGAGGGGGATGTAGCGAGCCAGCAGCTTCGCCCTCTTCTTCTCGTACCCTTTCTGAGTGATGTCACCTGCAACAGTGGCAAAAGAGAACGTTATCACTTGTAAGGTTATAAAACATCCGTGAATGTGTGGGAGGGTGCACGCACACATGTACACATGGAGGTCAGAGGTCAATCTTAGGGGCTTGTAACCATTTTCCTTGTTTTATGAGAGGAGTCTGTCTCTTGGCCTGGAGCTAACCAAGCCTAGGTGGGTTGACTGGCTAGGAAGCCCCAGAAGCCCTGGGAATATTGTCTTCCCTGCCTCCCCAGCACTGGATTTTAAGCACGCCACACCTGTCTTTTAATGTGGGTTCTTGGGATCAAATTCAGTAACTCACGTGTGTGCTGCAAGCATTTTACCAACTAAGCTATCTCTCTAGCCAGTTTCAGGATTTTTAATGAGAAAAAAAAAATGAGAATTGTGGGATAGGAAAATGGCTCAGTGAGGTAAAGGTTTTGTGAGCAATGCCGAGAACATACATTTGGATCCCCAGAACCCACACGACGCTGACTGTGGTAGTGTACACCCCTAATTCCAGCGCTCCTATGATGAAACGGGAATCGGAGACAGGATGGTCCCTGAAGCTCGCAGGCTAGCCAGTCTGGAGTACGCAGCAGCAAGCAAGAAGAGAGCCTGTCTCAAAGACCACACGTGAGGTCTGACACCTGAGACTGACCTCGGACCACCTTGGCCACACAGGCCACCTTGCGCCACTCCCCGAGACACGCAGATTTCTTAAAATTTATAATCTAAAGACTATGCATTGATGCCTTTCAAGAGAGAGTTACTAGGTAAGTAAGCTGGGATGAACCCAGCACGGAAGGTGGTGAGAAGGAGCGGACTACTGAAGGGTAGCAGTGTAGGCAGATCTCACGTACCAGTCACTGAGTGAAGGAAGCCTGGGTCAAAGGCTGTATACCATATGTACATTATTCTATATAATGACCCTCTAGAGGAGACAAAACCACAGAACCAAAATAGACAGTGGTTGCCAGCAGGGCAGGAGGGAGGGGATTGTCAGAGGGGATAAGAGTCTGGGATGGTGTAAGACTTGCGTGACTCAAATCTGGCAGGAATTACACAACCGTATTCACCTGTCAGGAGCTTACAGAACTCCACACTGGGAAACAGAATCTTAATATATGTAAGCAATACTGTAATGAAAAAAAAAAAAGGTGCCAGGCCGTGGTGGCACGTGCCTTTAACCCAGCACTTGGGAGGCAAAGGCAGATGGATTTCTGAGTTCGAGGCCAGCCTGGTCTACAGAGTGAGTTCCAGGACAGCCAGGGCTACACAGAGAATCCCTATCTCCAAAAACCAAAGAAAAAAAAAGAAAGAAAAGTAATAAGGGAAACTTTCTCTTATCAAAAAAAGAAAGATGATAAGAGAAAGTTTCTCTTAAAAACTTGTCAAAATGTAGACTCCAAGGCTGGAGAGATGGCTAAGCAGTTAATAAGTGTGTCCTGCTCTTCCAGAGGACCTGAGTTTGGTCCCCAGAAACCATGTGACACAGCTCAGAACTAATTGCAAGTCCTGCTCCAGGGTATCTAATACCATCTTCTGGCCTCTGCGGGCACACACTTGTAGTGCACACTCATACAGACAGATACACACGAATTTTTTTTAAATCTTACAAAAGGTTCTGAAGTTACACCTCAGGTCAGCAGAATCCATATCTATATTTGTAAGACCCTTAAAGGATACAGATGCAGGTTGAAGTATCAGAAACAACAGTAAAAGGGACCCAGAGGCTCAGCCTCCACCACCATAGTGCCCTAGACGAGGACTCTGGAAAGGGTCTGCTGTCCCAGTATGTATATGTTATCATATATGGAAGCTGAACACAAGCTAAATGCACTTGTCGAAGAAATAGAAAACACACTTCCCATTTTCTACCTGGTCCTGGTCTCCATGTCCTACCTGGTTCCTACACGAAACTGGGAGTGCTGTTAGTGCCTCAACGTTCTCATGAAGGTCTTAGACCACAAATGTGTGCTCCAACACGTTTTATTCCTTGCCTTTAGTACAAATGTGTATTCTTGCAGTTCTCAGTGCCACCGGTTTTTCTTTTTTTGCATTTTTGGTGTTTTCTAAGCCCTCCTCCTTCATCTTGCACGTTCTTCCAAACAAAAAAAAGTAGACGGCTACAGAGTATCAGAGAATACTGCTGTCGAGCGTGCAGGTATTTCCTTTAGAAGAAGCCATCTTGACTAGGGTTTGTGGCGTGGGAACAGATCCTTTGGAGTGCCTGACATTTAGATTAAGCCTCACAAACGTCCTGAGTGTTCATGAATCCACAGCCAGGGAAAGGTCTGTAGAACAGACAAGCAGTTGCCAGAGCATGAGCTGGTCTACCGCAGAGCCTTCCCACTAGCCTGCCCTCTGTCTAGAGCCTGCTGGGTAACAGACCGCGGAAGCAGGCAGGCCTATCCTTCACCATCTCACAGTCCTCACGGGGTTCTGGCCCAGCCCTCACAAGCAGCTGTTCTGTAGCGTTTAGTGTGTCCATAATAAAGTATCTCCTGCCATGTGTGTATGTGTGTATGTGGGTATGAGAGTATATGTGTGTGTTTGTGTATATGTGTGTGTGCATCTGTGTGTATGTGTGTATGTATATGTGTATATGTGTGAGTTGTGTGTATGTATATGTGTGTATATGAGTATGTGGGGGGTACTTGTATGTGTGTGTATATATGTGTATGTGTGTGCATATGGGTATATGTGTTTGTATATATGTGTGTATGTGTGATATATGTGTGTATGTGTCTATGTGTATCTGTGTTATATGCGTGTGTGTATGTGTGTACTGCTTTGTGTCAACATGTTTTTACTTGACCTGAATTGGCATTATCCTACATATAAATCTGTTTCTCCTTTTGTTGTTGGTTTTTTCCCATTAAATGTTCCATTTTTAACACCATCTCTGATTCGCTGCTCTACCATAGGATACTGGGAGAGGCAGCATCTTCAACTCACTGGGCCCTAAACAGACACACACGATGATGATCTGGAATGGCACTATCATCTCACTGGATTCGCAGACCTCAGTCCTCTTCACTTTCACCACTGGGGCACACAGAGGGTCACAAGGACTACTCTCATTAGGTTCAAGATAATACTGCATAATTTCACTTATTAACACTGCACCTTGTGCAGAAATACATATTTCTAAATGTGTATTTCTAAACTAAATACTTCAGAACATCATATATTAATGCTACATTTACTCTAGAATAGATTCAAATGTGACTAATTTATATCAAAATTTTTAAAAATTGAGGCAGGGTTTCACTGCACAGCCCTGGAACTCACTAAGAAGACCAGGTTGGCCTTGAGCCATGTGTCTCTGCCTCTGCCTCTGTCTCTGCATATATCACCATGCCCAGCTATCATCCAGTCTTAAATTTTATAACGGTGAAGGTACCGAAGGACACTGAGATATTAAACATGTCAGGTGCCTGTTTGAGGCTCAACATAAGATAAAAGCAATCTCTTTTTATCAACTGAGACATAGCCAGTCACAGATGGATGTTCTCATGTTACAGTGGGTATACATCCCATGAACCCATTTAAGACACATGTATCCTGACTCGAACCTGCATTTAATACAGACTTCCAGCACCATACCTTACCCTGGGCTTTAAGCACAGTAACTTTCAACAGCATACCGTAAATGAAAATCACAAGTGGCCGATCACTGGCACGGGAAAAGATCAAACTGCAAAATTTGAGGTCTGGTTGCTACTGAACATGTATCACTTTTAAACCAACCTAAAGCTCAAAGATGTTGAGTGAAACCATTATGTCACATTATGTCATTATGTGTATTCTGTGTTCCTATGTAATCAGCTGCCATTACTTTCATGTGCCCAACATGATGGACATTGGTCCCATGCACACACCGCATAGAGCACAGCCACATGGGGCAGGTAGGATCCCATAATGGAATCCTGGCACTGAGCTGGTACGCCAGGAAAGAGGGGACTCAAATGCAAGCTTTCTAAACCCAAGACCAATTCTTTCATGGGAACAATAAAACACAGACAAAGAGACAAACAACAGAGCCTTGTTCCCAATCACTACACAGAACTGGTGAGGCCCTGCTGGGAGGCAGAGAGAGCTGTTTATGCCTGAACATCCAGGCCTCTGTGGGCTCTAGAAAGACTCGTGGCTACCCCTGGACAGACTTCTCTAGTGGTTGTGGGGCAGGAGGCTGCTCTTCCAGACTTCCAGGAAGGTACGCCAGGAAGCTGTAGCTGACCGCTGCTGCTACAGAAACAAACTTAGGAGTCCAGAGCCCATGAAGGCACTCACTCAACAAACTATGTCTAAAAACTTATTGTCAAAAGCACCGAATTAGTCTACAACGGTAGGGAGTAAATGCTGTGGGTGATAGCCAATACCTGTCTACTGCCTAACTGTCCATCAGAAAAATACCCTGTTGGCTGTGCAAAACATCCTGGTACCTGACATGCCGAGGCTGGATAGCACATGATTTATGAGCTCTTACCAAATAAAAGAGCAAGCCAGACAACAATATAGGATGATCCTGCTCTGATCAAAGGTGCATATATACATACACACACACACACACACACACACACACACACACACACACACACGCTCATGTCAATGTGAATCATCTGCATGTATAGAATATTCTGCGGGGAGGAACAACACACCATAATCCTGCTTCTCTGGCTTCAGGTAAGGTGTCAGACAGATTTCTATTTTCATCTCACACACCTCTGAACATACTCTTTCGCATAATAACCATATGCCCTTTAGCATGTGGGAATGTGTGGGAGACGCTCTGGCAATGCTTTGGCTACAGATGTTAGTGAAGAAAACTAGACAAATTCTATGCGTTACCTCTGAAACTTATGAACCTAAAACTATTTCAAAATAAAACGCTTAAAAATATTTGCAGAAAACTGTGTAGAATTAGCGTTATTTCTTTTTAAAATTTACTTTGGTTTTATGTCCATGAATGTTTGCCTGTGTGTATACACGTGTGCCATGTATA